CTGGGCCGAGCCGGGGGGCGGGAGAGGCCGGGCCGGGCCGGGCCGGACCGGGCCAGGGGGCGGCCGCACAGCCCTGAGGTGCAGCTTTAACAAAACATCACCTGTTTGTGATCCGTCTGGCGTTTAATCTAGCTCGGAACAGCCAGGCGCTCTCCCAGCGCCAGTCCCCCCCGGTGCCTACGCCACTGTTACCCCTTTAGCCCTGCACGGCTCCCCACCCAAACAAAAATTACAATAATGCATTTTATCCCCCAGAAAGACCCTTTGAAGTTCATTTATGGGCCAGGACGTGGTCCTACAGTCTGTAACAAAGATACCGTACTATTTTGGTAGTAGAACACGCCCTCTCAACACTACCAGCATCGCTAGCGCCACCAAAATTGAGAAGCACTTCAAGAGGCTAAATTAGCATCAGGCACAATCTAGCAGAATTTTCTAGTACGCTTCACTGACAAGGATAGTTTAGTATTACTCAACGCACATTCCAAATAGATGCACAAAGTTTTGGCTCATAAATAAAGAACAACCACTTTGATCTATTTAGTACAGACCCCTGAGAAATCCTCTGAAAAGCAAAACAAGTTGCTACTTCAGTTTTGGGATGCTACCCAAATTATCTTTATGACACAGGCCTAGGTCTTTCTTCGAGTACAACCAAGTCAAGATGTACTTTGGGCATTTCATTTTACACATTGATTCTTAACGTTTAACTTGTCTCCCTCCCCTGTTCCTTCCTGAGCTTCTTTTTTTGACATCTCCACAGCTGGGTACCTGAATTGGCTGCTCTGAAGTAATTCGAGTTTTGCTCTTTTGAAATCCAGATCTGTTCCAGACCTAGTCTTGTGTAGCCTTCTATTTATTTCCAGGAGAATTTACTCAAACCACAGTTATGCATTTCACAGGAGTCCAAAGAACATTTAACACAGTTAAAATGCAAATAAAGTTTAGGTGAGAGTAATGAAAACAAGGTTTCAGAAAGAGTACAATACCCCTGAAATTCCACTGCTACATACTTTGACTGTTACCTAAACTGCTTTAGAAATCTATCACCAGAAAACAGTAGAGATAAAATTTAGTATCACAGAAAACTTTAATATTTCATTATCTTAAAATACAAATAAGAGTGTGCATTTGTACATCAATGGATTTACAGAGCAAAGTTATCAGAAAGATTAAACTGCAGCATAAAGTCACTGTATCTTCAGGAGAAATCATCGGGCATCAAAAACCACCACTGGAATAGCATAGTTAAGCAAAAAAAACATGCTATAATTGAAAAAAGATTAGTGAGAAATAAGATTGTGGGGCAGGGGGGAAGACTCTAAAGTCACGACTAATTCCATAAACTCATCTCTAATTAATACCACAGCATTTTCCCTTTCTTAAAACACTGAATAGTAACAACAATTCACAGGACGCCAGCCAGCAGACTATCACAGCTTCCTGTACTTTGCATAGAAAATGGAAAAACGAGAGAAAACACCAGGAAAGAAAACAAGATGCCAAATCACATTTGGAAGACTTCCTGGTAGTACTTTGCTTGTTTGACTGGATTTTTGCTCTTGAAGAATTCTTACATAATAACTGAAATCTCCCCTATTTACCGTATCTCCATCCACAGCTTCCCAAAAGCTTTTAAGTGCCCAGGTAAAAGGATACATCTTTTTGTCCTTTTCTTGTACATTATTCTGTAGCCACATTCTCTGCATCTAATAGGATCTCTTGCCTTTATTTCATTTTCTGTATGACATTCTGACATGACAGAAGAAGAAAAAGGGAGTGGGTAAACAAATCCAGCATTGGCAATGCAAATTACTTTCAAAAGCCATAATAGTCAAATTCCTATTTGTGACAAACAAAGCATAGCAAGACATAATTGTAAAGAATTTGCATCAAGAGCTGAATAATATCAAAATACTGTGAAGAAAAAAAAGCAAAATTCACTTACATTAAGATCAAAGCAGATCTTGCAAGAAATCACCAAATTATTACTGCACAGAATACATTCCACTTTTGATACAACTAGACTGTCCACTAATGAAAAGTTCAGCTGACTTACCTAAGATAAGACAGACTTTTACTATGGCACCTCAATAAAAACTGAGAGACTATACAGCAGCTGCAAAAAGCTCTTAGGGGCACTGAACAGAAGGTCCACTATGTACATTAAAGTGGACACTTAAGGAAAGCATCCTCTGGAGATGGAGGATGTTCACACAGCAACACCAGGTTTGCTGTAGAGCTTATAATCAGTGCATAAAGCTTTAAAGAACATCAGGATCTACACTGCAGCTATTTGTATTTACGTACTCTTCATTTGAACGATTACACATTCTTCATTATAAAAACACCAAATCTTCAGTTACAAGCGAAAAAAAACACAGATGTCTTTACCTCCACAAATGTAAATCATTGGCTGCTGCTTTGGGGGCTGAACATCCTTCTGTGAATCCATGTTCTAAACAAAAAACACACAAAACACACAAAAGGGGTTTTTTTGTGCAATTTTTTATTTTTTCAAGGTAAGCACAATCATTTCAATATCTCAATCTCAAGTTAAGAGAAGATGAAAAATTTCCTAAATAGTAAATACAGATTTAACTTGTTCTTGACACACAGCACTTGAGAAAGTATCTAGTTCAACATCTCAGAAACAGAGTAACATCAGGGTTCTCAGAGCTTTAGCAGTCTGGCATTGAAAACATACAGAGATGGAGATGGGGCAATGTTTTCTATTAAACAGGATCTTAAACATTAAAGCTCAATTAATATTTTCTTTCCTCCCTCCTGCCAGTGCTAAGAATTTCCTTGTTGGAAACACAAAAAATCATTTCTTAGGTATCATGTAAAATCAGTGCTATCATCAACAAGATAAGCTTTATGTTTTTTCCCCCTCTGACAGAACACTAGCTAGCCTAATATACCTTTTCATTCATATAAGGGATTAGAAATCTTGAGAACAGAAGTGCAACAGGAATTGGAAAAAAACAAAACAAAACAAAAAAAAGAGAAGAAATTTCACTTTCAAAATCCTGACATAGATGTATACAAGTACCAGGGTGATCAAGTCAGTAGTACTCTTCAAACACCTCTTAATGCCCTATAAGGCTTTTGACTGTTCAGACTTACTTTGAAAACAAGTGTTCCTGTACTTTATCAGGCTAAATAGTTCCATATATGTCACATACGTTCTGGAAAGCTTTAAGCAATCCTATCTTAGCATGCAAATACAGTTACAGCCATACATTTTAAGGTTGTTGCTATAACCACCAGAGATAGCAAACATTTCTTCCCACCCAATGCAAGCCTAGACTAGAATGTATCTCCTAGTTTTTTTCAGGTTGCGGTTTTCTGTCACTCTTCTGCCTGACATAGAAGACAATAATTTTTAACCCTTATGCCAGTGAATACCCTTCATAATGCTTCTTTATGAGCATCTTATTGCTTAAAATTACAGTAATGATTATTTCCCTGATCTTTGCAGCTTGTTTCAGTATAAACTCAACTGGGTAGGGTATTGAAAATGGAAGGATAGATTGACAGAAACATCCACCATGTTTAAGAGAGTCTGATCAGCACTTGACAAACCACCTTGTTAAAATGCCCATTACACAACTCGATTTGAGAGAACTGGAGATAAATCATTAAACTCTACTGCATTCGAGTAAGGTTTTGCTCTATCATAACCAGAGTGGCAGCTTAACCCACATGTGTTACAGTATTTGGTGTCCGTACATACAGTAAGATGTAATAGTCATCCATTAGCACTTGAAAACAGCAGCATCTTCTAAAGGAGAGAGTTGAACTAAGGACGGCAACAGCTGCAACGAAGTAACCTGAGTTTGTGCTGCTCACGCAGCAAAACGGTACCTACAACTACGTGTTTTGCAGGGAGGTGCCACGGTTCAGCCGGCCCTCCCGCACCCTGCAGCTCTAAGCGCCGACACAGCCAACAGGCACGCAGATGCACCCCCGTGCACTGGGACGGAACCGCAACCGACTGCGAACGCGAGCAGCGCCGGCCCCGCTACCGGTGCCGAAAGGACGCCACACGCCCCCGTCAAGCGACGCATACCCGCTCCTTCAGGTGTCCCCCAGAGCTCACGAAGGAGGCCGGCCGGCGACT